ATGTGTTTTGAGTCTAGTTTTGTTTTTTATTTTTCAAAAATAATTTACATGCTCAAAAAATACAAATAAAAATATGGGGATATAATGAGTAAAACAATCTACACACCCATATTTGATATTCTTTTTTTTAGTTATTTTCTGGCGGCGAAAAAAAATTCCACGGGCCGAGTTGTACCACGTTGTAACGGGGTATAACGCGGAGTTGAAACGGGGGTTCAACGGGAGTTGAACCATTCAACTCCAAACCCCCGTTGAATCAGATTTCGAACACATAGGATGAACTACATATTGACGGTAGACCTTCTCATTGTGCTCAGCGTTGTCGCAAATGGAGAAAGGGTCCCAGGACCGATGTGAACCAATAGAACCGAAATATTGATATCCTCCTGTCTGTCAACGAGCATGAGCTGGGAGTTGAAGCCATCAAAATGAAAATAACATTCGTCATCCAGCTCACTTAGAAGGGATGCACTATCAAGCAAATGATGGCCGAACGTGTCAACCTCTGCACTCTGCAGCTGATTAATGAGCATATCATCCTACCGTGGCGTATGATGGCCAGCTTCAATGGTTCTGGGGGCGACACTCGGCCGAACTGTGGAGGAAGACGCACCTGCAGCAGGTTGAAAGAGTGTGTACCCACAAAAAGGACAGGAGCCGGGTGTCAGAGAACAGTGGGAAGCAAGGCGAACTTACAAAGTTGCATACTCAATCTACAATTTTTTTTATGGTTCTTCTGCCAATAGTAACATCTCAGGCTCAGTGGAATTGACAAAGCGTCTCGCATCCCCGTCCACAGCAGCCAGCAGCAACCTACCAAGTGTGAACCTCAACCTATGAATGTTGGACAGTTATGTCATACATAGTTGCAACATATTGTTGGACCGAAGTGGCACTAATGATTAGTAATGAATTCTGCAAACTCTCTCCTCGGCGGTCCTCGCAGTCATCAACAGACCATACAACACCTCGACGGTAGACAACGCCTGAGCTTGAACCTCAACCTCGACCAAGTGATAAGGTACGGTATCACCAACCCACTGTAACTGACGAACAGTTGACTGCAAATCAGACAGTCGAACCCCTGCAGCACGACATTGTTCGGTAACACAAACAACGGGTACACAATCCGTGAAAGATCGCCCCTCATATCGAAGATAAACAACAATTTTTTAATTTGAGCGTCAAGCCGGACAACTTTCTGCCTTCATTGTGTCATGCTATCCCAAATGACAAACTCTTAGTGAACACTGAGGTAGATTATTTTATTTCGGAGGTGGGTTGTCTCGCGCTACTTGAACAAAATCATGTTGTTGTCAAGATCCTCATCAGCTCAAGCAGTGCAGGCAGCAGCACTCACTGCGGAACGCGTTTGGTCAAAGTCCTCCTCCTTCTCGATATCACTAACATCGTAGTTTGTCACGATGTCCTCCTTCACAATGGAAGGTGTGTCGTTATCGTTATCCCTGAGTATTTCTTCTTCACTTTGGTGATCAGCATCCTTATCAATATCCCGAGAAGCAATTATTGCTCGCATTTGATTGACCGTGTCTTCACATCGTTGACGTTTCAACTGACCTTCATCAATCTGGTCACGCACCTATTTATCTCCCAGATCTCCCTCCTAGAGCCACGGCTCTGCAACTTAACAAGCTTGGATTCTCGATCAACTACAAATTGACGGTAGACCTTCTCATTGTGCAGCAGCATTGTCGCAAATGGAGAAAGGGTCCCGGGACCGATGTGAACCAAGGAACCAGAATGTCAATATTCTCCTGTCGGTCAACGAGCATGAGATGAGAGTTGTAGCCATCAAAATGAAAATGATGTTCGTCATCTAGCTCACTTAGAAGGGATACACTATCAAGCAAATGATGACGGATTGTGTCAACCTCTGCAATCTGCAGCTGATTGATGAGCATATCATCCTCCCGTGGAGCATCTTTGGCCGGCTCGAAGGGTTTTGGGGGTGACACTCGGCCGAACTGTGGAGGAAGACGCACCTGCAGCAGGTTGAAAGAGTGTGTACCCGCAAAAAGGACAGGAGTTGGATGTCAGAGAAGAATGGGAAGCAAGGCGAACTTGCAAAGCTGCATACTCAATCTGCAATTTTTTATGCTTCTTCTGTCCATAGTAACATCTCAGTCACAGTGACATTGAGGGGGCGTCTCGCATCCCCGTCCAAAGCACCCAGCAACAACCTACCAAGTGTGAACCTCAACCTGTGAACGTTGGACAGTTATGTCATATGTAGTGGCAACATATTGCTGAACCGAAGTGACACTAATGATTAGTAATGAATTCTGCAAACTCTCTCCTCGGCGGTCCTCGCAGTCGTCAACAGACTGTACAGCACCTCGACAGTAGACAAAGAGTGTATACCCGCAAAAAGGACAGGAGCTGGGTGTCAGAGAACAGTGGGAAGCAAGGCGAACTTTCACAGTTGCATACTCAATCTCCATTTTTTTATGGTTCTCATGCCAATAGTAACATCTCAGGCATAGTGGCATTGAAAGGGCGTCTTTCCTCCTGTCCACAGCAGCCAGCAGCAACCTACCAAGTTTGAACCTTAATCTGTGAATGTTGGACAGTTATGTCATACGTAGTGGCAACATACTGCTGGATCAAAGTGACACTGGTAATTAGTAATGAATTCTGCAAACTCTATCTTCGGCGATCCTCGCAGCCATCAACAAATCGTACAGCACCTCTACAATAAACAAAACCCGACGCTCAGTGACAGCGAACTTCAGCGCCGCTTGAACCTCAACCTGGACCAAGCGATAAAAAAAGGTATCACCAACCCACTGTAACTGACGAACAGTTGACTGCAAATCAGAACGGTCGAAGCCCTGCAACACGATATTGTTCGGCAACACAAACAACGGGCACACAATCCGTGCAAGATCACTTCTCATATTGGAGATAAATAACAATTTTTTAATCTGAATGTCAAGCCGTACAACTTTTTGCTTGCATTGCTTCATGCTATCCCAAGCGACAAAGTCTGAGTGGACACTAAGGTATATTATTTTATTTCGGAGGTGGTCTATCTCGCGCTTCTTAAACAAAAAGTCATGCTGCTGTCAAGATCCTCATCAGCTCGAGCACTGCACACAGCAGCACTCACCGTGGAAGGCTTGTGGTCAAAGTCCTCCTTCTCGATATCACTGACATCGTAGTCTGTCACGATGTCCTCCTCCGCAATGGAAGGGGTGCCGTTGTCGTCATCCCTGAGTATTTGTTCTTCACTTTGGTGATCAGCATCCTCATCAATATCCCCGGAAGCAATTATTGCTCGCATTTAATTCACCTTCTCTTCACATCGTTGACGTTTCAATTAACCTTCCTCGATCTGGTCATGCACCCGTTTAATTCCCCGATCTCCCTCCTGGAACCCACGACTCAGCAACTTCGCAAGCTTGGATTCTCGATGTGCTCAGCATTGTCGCAGATGGAGAAAGGTTCCCCGGACCGATGTGAACCAAGGGAGCCGGAATGTTGATATCCTTTTGTCTGTCAACGAGCATAAGCTGGGAGCTGAAGCCATCAAAATGACGATGGCATTCGTCATCTAGCTCACTTAGAAGAGATGCAGTATCAAGCAAATCATGGCAGAAGGTGTCAACCTCTGCAATCTGCAGCTGATTGATGGGCATATCATCCTACCGTGGTGCATTATTGGCCGACTTCAAAGGTTCTGGGGTGACACTTGGCTGAACTGTGGAGTAAGACGCTCCTACAACAGGTTGAAAGACTGTGTACCCACAAAAAGGACAGAAGCTGGGTGTCAGAGAACAGTAGGAAGCAAGGCGAACTTCAAAAGTTGTGCACTCAATCTGCATTTTTTTATGGTTCTTCTTCCAATAATAATATCTCAGGCACAGTGACATTGACAAAGCGTCTCTCATCCCGTCCACAGCAGCCAGCAGCAACCTACCAAGTGTGAACCTTAACCTGTGACTGTTGGAGACTTATGTTATACGTAGTGGCAACATAATGCTCGATCGAAGTGGCACTAATGATTAGTAATGAATTATGCAAACCCTATCATCGGCGATCCTCCCAGCCATCAACAGACCGTACAGCACCTCGACGGTAGACAAAGCCTGAGGCTCAGTGACAGCGAACTTCAGCGCCGCTTGAACCTCAACCTGGACCAAGCGATAAAGCAACGTCTCACCAACCCACTGTAAATGACGAACAATTGACTACAAATCAGAACGGTCGAAGTCCTGCAGCACGACATTGTTCGACAACACGAACAACGGGTATACAATCCGTGTAAGATTACCCCTCATATCGGAGATAAACAACAATCTTCTAATCTGAACGTCAAGCCGAACAACTTTCTGCTTTCATTGCGTCATGCTATCCTAAGTGACAAAGTTTGAGTGGACACTGAGGTAGATTATTTTATTCCGAAGGTGGTTTATCTCGCGCTGCTTGAACGAAGTCATGCTCCTGTAAAGATCCTCATCAGCTCGAGCACTGCAGGCAGCAACACTCACCGCGGAAGGTTTGTGGTCAAAGTCCTCCTCCTTCTCGATATCACTAAAATCGTCGTCTGTCACGATGTCCTTCTCCGCAATGGAAGGCGTGTTGTTGTCGTCATCCCTTAGTATTTCTTCTTCACTTTGGAGATCCTCGATATCACTAGCATCGTAGTTTGTCACGATGTCCTCCTCAAAAATGGAAGGTGTGTTGTTGTCGCCATCCCTGAGTATTTCTTCTTCACTTTGATAATCAGCATCCTCATCAATATCCCTAGAAGCAATTATTGCTCGCATTTGATCGACCTTGTCTTCACATCGTTAACGTTTCAACAAACCTTCCTCGATCTGGTCATGCACCCCTTTAACTCCCCGATCTCCCTCCTGGAACCCACGGCTCAACAACTTCACAAACTTGGATTCTCGAAGAACTACATATTGACGGTAGACCTTCTCATGATTGTGCTCAGCGCTGTCGCAGATGGAGAAAGGGTCCCAGGACCGATGTGAACCAATGGAACCGGACTGTTCATATTCTCCTTTCTATCAACAAGCATGAGCAAGGGTCTGAAATCATCAAAATGAAAATGACGTTCGTCATCTAGCTCACTTGTGAACGTGGCGCATCATTGGCCGGCTGGAATGGTTCTGGGTCGACACTCGGCCGAATTGTGGAGGAAGACGCACCTGCATCATGTTGAAAGAGTGTATACCTACAAAAAAGACGGGAGTTGGGTGTCAGAGAACATTAGGAAGCAAGGCAAACTTGCAAAGCTGCATACTCATTCTGCATTTTTTTATGATTCTTCTGTCAATAGTAACATCTCAGTCACAGTGGCATTGATAGGGCGTCTCGCATCCCCGTCCAGAGCAGCCAGCAGCAACCTACCAAGTGTGAACCTCAACTTGTGAACGTTGGACAGTTATGTCATATGTAGTGGCAACATATTGCTGAACCGAAGTGGCACTAATGATTAGTAATGAACTCTGCAAACTCTCTCCTCGGCAGTCGTCGCAGCCATCAACAGACCGTACAGCACCTCGACGCCGTGGACGGTAGACAAAGCCTAAGGCTCAGTGACAGCGAACTTCAGCGCCGCTTGAACGTCAACCTGGACCAAGCGATAAAGTAAGGTCTCACCAACCCACCGTACAGCACCTCGACGCCGTCTACGGTAGACAAAGCCTGAGACTCAGTGACAACGAACCTTAGTGTCGCTTGAACCTCAACCTGGACCAAGAGATAAAGTAAGGTCTCACCAACCCACTGTAACTGACGAACAGTTGACTGCAAATCCGAATGGTCGAAGCCCTGCAGCACGACATTGTTCGACAACACGAACAACAGGTACACAATCCGTGCAAGATCACCCCTCATATCGGAGATAAACAACAATCTTCTAATATGAACGTCAAGCTGAACAACTTTCTGCTTCCATTGCATCATGCTATCCCAAGCGACAAAGTCTGAGTGGACACCAAGGTAGATTATTTTATTTTAAAGGTGATATATCTCACGCTGCTTGAACAAAGTCATGTTGCTGTCAAGATCCTCATCAACTCGACCACTGCAGGCAGCAACACTCACCGTGGAAGGCTTATGGTCAAAGTCCTCCTCCTTCTTGATATCACTCACATCGTAGTCTGTCACGATGTCCTCCTCCGCCATGAAAGGTGTGTTGTTGTCGTCATCCGTGAGTACTTCTTCTTCACTTTGGTGATTCTCGATATCACTAACATCGTAGTCTGTCACGATGTCCTCCTCCGCAACGGAAGGTGTAATCTTGTCGTCATCCCTGAGTATTTCTTCTTCACTTTGGTGATCAGCATCCTCATCAATATCCCCATAAGCAAATATTGCTCGCATTTGATTGACCTTGTCTTCACATCGTTGACGTTTCAACTGACCTTCCTCGATCTGGTCATGCACCCGTTTAACTCCCCGATCTCCCTCCTTGAACCCACGGCTCAGCAGCTTCGCAAGYTTGGATTCTCGATCAACTACATATTGACGGTAGACCTTCTCATTGTGCTCAACGTTGTCGCAGATGGAAAAAGAATCCGAGGATCGATGTGAACCAAGGGAACCAGAATGTTGATATCCTTCTGTATGTCAACGAGCATGAGCTGGGAGCTGAAGCCATCAAAATGAAAATGAGGAACGACATCTTAGCTTACTTAGAAGGGATGCACCATCAAGCAAATGATGATGGAACGTGTCAACCTCTGTAATCTGCAGCTAATTGATAAATATATTATCCTACCGTGGCACATAATTGGTTGGCTCGAATGGTTTTGGGGGGCCGACACTCGGCCGAACTGTGGAGGAAGACGCATCTGCAGCAAGTTGAAAGAGTGTGTACCCGCAAAAAGGACAGGAGTTGGGTGTCAGAGAACAATGGGAAGCAAGGCAAACTTGCAAAGTTTCATACTCAATCTGAATTTTTTTACGAACCAGGTTCTTCTGCCAATAGTAACATCTCAGGCACAGTGGCATTGACAGGGCGTCTCGCATCCCGTCCACAACAGCCAGCAGCAACCTACCAAGTGTGAACCTCAACCTTTGAATGTTGGACAGTTATATAATATGTAGTGGCAACATATTGCTGGACCGAAGTGGCAATAATAATTAGTAATGAATTTTGCAAACTCTGTCATCGGCGGCCCTCGCAGCCATCAACACACCGTACAGCACATCGACAGTAGACAAAGCCTGAGGCTTATTGACAGCGAACTTCCGCGTCGCTTGAACCTCAACCTGGACCAAGCGATAAAGTAAGATCTCACAAACCCACTTTAACTGACGAACAGTGAACTGCAAATCTGAACAGTCGAAGCCATGCAACACGACATTGTTCGGCAACACGAACAACAGGTACATAATCCGTGCAAGATCACCCCTCATATCGGAGATAAACAATATCTTGTAATCATAACGTCAAGCCGAACAACTTTCTGCTTTCATTGCGTCATGTTATCCCAAGCGACAAAGTTTGAGTGGACACTGAGGTATATTATTTTATTTCAGAGTAGTCTATCTCGCGCTACTTGAATAAAGTCATGTTGCTGTTAAGATCCTCATCAGCCCGAGCACTGCAGGCAACAACACTCACCGTGAAAGGCTTGTGGTCAAAGTCCTCCTCCTTCTCGATATCGCTAACATCGTAGTCTATCACGATGTCCTCCTTCGCAATGGAAGGTGTGTCGTTGTTGTCATCCCTAGGTATTTCTTCTTCACTTTGGCAACCAGCATCCTCATCAATATCCCCACAAGCAATTATTGCTCGCATTTGATTGACCTTTTCTTCACGTCGTTGACGTGTCAACTGACCTTCCTCGATCTCGACATGCACCCGTTGAACTCCCCGATCTCCCTTCTGGAACCCAAGGCTCAGCAACTTCGCAAGCTTGGATTCTCGATCAACTACATATTCACGGTAGACCTTCTCATTGTGCTCAACGTTGTCGCAGATGGAGAAAGGGTCCCATGACCGATGTGAACCAAGGGAACTGAAATGTTGATATCCTCCTGTCTGTCAACGAGCATGAGCTGGGAGCCGAAGCCATCACAATGAAAATGACGTTCGTCATCTAGCTCACTGAGAAGGGATGCACTATCAAGCAAATGATGACGGAACGTGTCAACCTCTGCAATCTGCAGCTGATTGATGAGCATATCAACCTACCGTGGCGCATCATTAGCCGGCTTGAATGGTTTTGGGGGCGACACTCGGCCAAACTGTGGAGGAAGACGCACCTGCTTCAGGTTGAATGAGTGTGTACCCATAAAAAAAACAGGAGCTGGGTGTCAGCGAACAGTGGGAAGCGAAGCGAACTTGCAATGTTGCATACTCAATCTGCAATTTGTTATAGTCCCTCTGCTAATAGTAACATCTCAGGCACAGTGGCATTGAGAGGGCATCTTGCATCCCCCTCCACAACTGCCATCAGCAACATACCAAGTGTGAACCTCAACCTCTGAATGTTCGACAGTTATGTCATACGTAGTGGAAACATATCGTTGGACAGAAGTGACACTAATGATTAGTAAGGAATTCTGCAAACTTCCTCCTCGACGGTCCTCGCAGCCATCAACAGACCATACAACACCTCGACGGTAGACAAAGCCTTAGGCTTAAAGACAGCGAACTTCAACGCCACTTGAACCTCAACCTGGACCAGGCGATAAAGTAAGGTTTCACCAACCCACTGTAACTGAGGAACAGTTGACTCCAAATCAGAACGGTCGAAGCCCTAGAGCACGACCTTGTTCGGCAACACAAACAACAGGTACACAATCCGTCCAAGATCACCCCTCGTATCGGAGATAAACAACAATCTTCTAATCTGAACGTCAAGCCGAACAACTTTTTACTTTCATTGTGTCATGCTATCCCAAGCGACAAAGTCTGAATCGATACTGAGGTAGATTATTTTATTTCGAAGGTGGTCTACCTCGCGCTGCCTGAACAAAGTCATATTGCTGTCAAAATCCTCATTAGCTCGAGCATTGCAGGCACCAGCACTCACCGCGGAAGGTTTGTGGTCAAAGTCTTCCTCCTTCTCGATATCACTAACATCGTAGTTTGTTACGATGTCCTCCACCGCAATGGAAGGTGTGTTGTTGTCGTCATCCCTTAGTATTTTTTATTCACTTTGGTGATTGTCGATATCACTAACACCGTAGTCTGTCACGATGTCCTCCTCCTCAATAGAAGGTGTGTTGTTGTCGTCATCCCTAAGTATTTTTTTTGCACTCTAGTGATCAGCATCTTCATCAATATCCCAAAAGCAATTATTGCTCGCGTTTGATTGACCTTGTCTTCACATCATTGATGTTTCAACTAACCGTCCTCGATTTGGTCATGTACCTGTTTAACTCCCCGATCTCCCTCCTGGAACCCACGACTCTGCAACTTCGCAAGTTTGAATTCTCAATTAACTACATATTGACGGTAGACCTTCTCATTGTGCTGAGCGTTGTCGCAGATGGAGAAAGGGTCCCAAGACTGATATGAACCAAGGGAACCGAAATGTTGATATCCTCTTGTCTGTCAACGAGCATGAGTTGGGAGCTGAAGCCATCAAAATGAAAATGACGTTCGTCATATAGCTCACTTAAGAGGGATACACCATCAGGCAAATGATGACGAAACATGTCAACCTTTGCAATCTGCAGCTGATTGATAAACATTTCATCCTACCATGGCGCATCATTGGCCGACTCGAATGGTTCTAGGGTCGACACTCGGCCGAACTGTGGAGGAAGACGCGCATGTAGCAGGTTAAAAGAATGTGTACCCGTAAAAAGGACAGGAGCTGAGTCTCCGAGAACAGTGGGAAGCAAAACGAACTTGCAAAAATGCATACTCAATTTGCATTTTTTTATGGTTCTTCTGCCAATAGTAACATCTCAGGCACAGTGGCATTGACAGGGCGTCTCACATCCCGTCCACAGCAGCCTGCAACAACCTACCAAGTGTGAACGTCACCCTGTGAATGTTAGACAGTTATGTCATACGTAGTAGCAAGCTATTGCTGGACCGAAGTGGCACTAATGATTAGTAATGAATTCTGCAAACTCTCTCCTCGGCGGTCGCAGCCATCAATTGACCGTACAACACCTCGACGGTAGACATCGTCTGAGGCTCAGTGACAGCGAACTTCAGCGTCACTTGAACCTCAACCTGGACCAAGCGATAAAGTAAGGTCCCACCAACCCACTTTAACTGACGAACAGTTGACTGGAAATCAGAACGATCGAAGCCCTGCAACACGACATTGTTCGGCAACACGAACAACGAGTACACAATCCGTGCAAGATCACCCCTCATATCGGAGATAAACAACAATCTTCTAATCTGAACGTCAAGTCGAACAACTTTCAACTTCCATTATGTCATGCTATCCCAAGCGACAAAGTCTTAGTGGACCATGAGGTAGGTTATTTTATTCCGTAGGTGATCTATCTCGCGCTACTTGAACAAAGTTATGTTGTTGTCAAGATCCTCATCAGCTCGAGCACTACAAAGTACTCACGGTGGATTCGTGGAAGGTTTGTGGTCAAAGTCCTCCTCTTTCTCGATATCACTAAGTTAAACATCGTAGTCAGTCACGATGTCCTCCTCCTCAATGGAAGGTGTGTCATTGTCGTCGTCCCTGAGTATTTCGTTTTCACTTTGGTGATCAGCATCCTCATCAATATCCCCAGAACAATTATTGCCCGCATTTTATTGACCTTGTTTTCACATCGTTGACGTTTCAACTGACCTTCCTCGATCTGGTCATGCACCCGTTTAACTCCCCGATCTCCCTCCTTGAACCCACGGCTCAGCAGCTTCGCAAGCTTGGATTCTCGATCAACTACATATTGACGGTAGACCTTCTCATTGTGCTCAACGTTGTCGCAGATGGAGAAAGAGTCCGAGGATCGATGTGAACCAAGGGAACCAGAATGTTGATATCCTCTTGTCTGTCAACGGGCATGAGTTGGGAGTTCAAGCCATCAAAATGAAAATGACGTTCGTCATCTAGCTCACTTAGAAGGGATCGACTATCAAGCAAAAAATGACGAAACTTGTCAACCTCTGCAATCTGCAGCTGATTGATAAACATATAATCCTACTGTGGCGCATCATGGGCCGGCTCGAATGGTTCTGGGGTCGACACTCGGCCGAACTGTGGAGGAAGACGCACCTGCAGTAGGTTGAAAGAGTGTGTACCCGCAAAAAGGACAGAAGCTGAGTGTCAGAGAACATTGGGAAGCAAAGCGAACTTGCAAAGTTGGATACTCAATCTGCATTTTTTTATGCTTCTTATGTCAACAGTAACATCTCACGCACAGTGGCATTGACAGGGCGTCTCACATCTCGTCCACAGCCGCCAGCAACAACCTACCAAGTGTGAACCTCAACCTGTAAATGTTGGACAGTTATCTCATACGTAGTGGCAACATATTGGTAGACCGAAGTAGCACTAATGATTAGTAACGAATTCTGCAAACTCTCTCCTCGGCGGTCCGCGCCGCCATCAATTGACTGTACAGCACCTCGACGGTACACAACGACTGAGGCTCAGTGACAGCGAACTTCAGCGCCGCTTGAACCTCAACCTGAACCAAACGATAAAGTAAGGTCTCACCAAGCTACTGTAACAGACGAACAGTTGACTGCAAATCAGAACGTTTGAAGCCCTGCAACACGACATTGTTCGACAACACGAACAACGCGTACACAATCCGTGCAAAAAAACAACAATCTTCTAATATAAACGTCGAGTCGAACAACTTTCCACTTCCATTGCGTCATGCTATCACAAGTGACAAAGTCTGAGTGGACACTGAGGTAGATTATTTTACTTCGAAGGAGGTCTATCTTGCGCTGCTTGAACAAAGTCATGTTGTTGTCAAGATCCTCATCAGCTCGAGCACTGCAGGCAGCACCACTCACTGTGGAAGGTTTGTGGTCAAAATCCTCCTCCTTCTCGATATCACTAACATCGTAGTCTATCACGGTGTCCTCCTCCGCAATGGAAGGTGTGCCGTTGTCGTCATCCCTGAGTATTTCTACTTCACTTTGGTGATCAGCATCCTCATTAATATCGCCAGAAACAATTATTGCTCGCATTTGATTGACCTTGTCTTCACATCGTTGGCATCTCAATTGACCTTCCTCGATCTCGTCATGCACCCGTTTAACTCCCCAATCTCCCTCCTGTAACCCACAGCTCAGCAACTTCGTAAGCTTGAATTCTCGATGAACTACATATTGACGGTAAACCTTCTCATTGTGATCAGCGTTGTCGCAGATGGAGAAAGGGTCCCAGGACCGATGTGAACCAAGGGAACCGGAATGTTGATATCCTCCTGTCTATCAACGAGCATGAGCTGGGAGCTGAAGCCATCAAAATGAAAATGACATTCGTCATGTAGCTCACTTAGAAGGGATGCATTATCAAGCAAATGATGACAGAACGTGTCAACCTCTGCAATCTACAGCTGATTGATGAGCATATCATCCTACCGTGGCGCATTATTGGCCGGCTTGAATGGTTCTGTGGGCGACACTCGGTCGAACTGTGGAGGAAGACGCACCTGCAGCAGGTTGAAAGAGTGTGTACCCACAAAAATGACAGAAGTTGGGTGTCAAAGAACAGTGGGCAGCAAGGCGACCTTGCAAAGCTGCATACTCAATCTGCATTTTTTTATGGTTCTTCTGTCAATAATAACATCTCAGGCACAATGACATTGGCATGGCGTCTTGCATCCCCGTCCACAGGAGCAAGCCGCAACCTATCAAGTGTGAACCTCAACCAGTGAATGTTGGACAATTATGTCATATGTAGTGGCAACTTATTGTTGGACCGGAGTGACACTAATGATTAGTAATGAATTTTGCAAACTCTCTCCTCGGCGGTACTCACAGCCATCAACAGACCGTACAGCACCTCGACGGTAGATAAAGTCTTAAGCTGAGTGAAAGCGAACTTCAGCGCCTGTTGAACCTCAACCTGGACTGAGCGATAAAGCAAGGTCTCACCAACCCACTGTCACTCACGAACAGTTGACTGCAAATCATAACGGTCGAAGCCTTGTAGCACGACATTGTTCGGCAACACGAACAACGGCTACACAATCCGTGCAAGTTCACCCCTCATATCGGAGACAAACAACAATCTTCTAATCTGAACGTCAAGTCGAACAACTTTCTGCTTCCATTGCGTCATGCTATCCCAAGCGACAAGGTCTGAGTGGAGACTAAGGTAGAGTATTTTATTTTGGAGGTCATCTATCTCGCGCTCCTTGAACAAAGTCATGTTGCTGTCAAGATCCTCATCAGCTCGAACATTGCAGGCAGCACCTTGTCGCTCAAGACCTGAACCACCTCCTCGTGGGAAATCCTAACCTTCTGCAGCAAAAATCTCAATTGTTCATCGTGTAAGCGCTACTTATCAGCCGGCGCTCGCTGAAGCGAATCTTCTCTTACTGTTTGGTATACATAAGATGCAGCAGCTCGTCAAGGGACCTCCTAAGGCCATCTGCGCCCCTATAGTCCTGGCCGGAAACCTACCACATCTTAAAATAAGAGGTTTTTTTGCTCTCTAGCGGGTAGAAGTTCCATAGAACTGAACATCATACTTCATATCCCGATATGTCCATAGATGGAAAGTGTTACAAGCAACATGTTGAGGAACATGTCTTTTCATTGTTGGAAACGACTCCTGTGATCGGCGGACAGATCAAAAGAAGCATAAACGCATTCCATCTTAAATGGTAGGGTTTTTCAAAAAAAAAAAAAAAAAAAAACGGCAGGGTTCACACACAGCGACACGAACTGGCAACCAAAAACTCAGCAACGGCAAAGCAGGGTCGGAGGACACACCCACGAAGCAGAGGGCAAGGAACAAACAGTCACGGACATCCTAACCTTTTGCAGCAAAACCCCCAATTGCTCATCGTGCAGTCGCTGCTGATCATCCAGCGCCCGCTGAAGCGAATCAATCTCCTGATGTTTGATATACATGAGATGCAGCAGCTCGTCAAGAGATCACCTAAGGCCATCTACGTCCCTATAGTCCTGGATGGAAACCTGCCACATCTCAAAATCAAAGGGTCTCTTGCTTTCTATCGGGTAGTCTAAGAACTGCACATCATACTTCATATCTCGATATGTCCATCGATGGAAAGCGCTACCAGCAACAGGTTCAGGAACAGGTCCTTACATTGTTGGAAATGACTCTTCTGATCAGCAGACAGAGCAAAAGAAGCATAAACACATTCTGTCATAAACGGGAGGGTTCACACACAACGGCACGAACTGGCAACCAAAAAATCAGCAACGGCCAAGCAAGTCTGAAGGACAGACCCACGGAGCAGAGGGCAAGGGACAAACAGCCACGAACACAAAACATTGTCCCCCCCCCCCCTCCCAAATTTATGCCCCCCTCCTCCCTCTAAAAAAACAGAGTCGACCAAACCAGTCGTTCACTGGGGAAACAACCAAAGAATAGTAAACGACAGTAGGTTACAAGAAACGCAACAATCGCGATGGGAGGCCACAGAGACGGACCGGGAGATAACAACAGGTAGCAAAGTGAAGGAAATGGATTGGGGACATGCTCCACCATGGACAAACGGTTTTCGACATTCATCCAGTAAGAACTCTCCAACGCGCAACTCGGAAATGCATTCCATGCCTGATCTCATCCTCGACTTCATCGTAGGAAGCGGGCTCAAGACGGCTCTCAGAGCAGTCAGGAACCGAAGCAGGAGAGTCGGGATCCAGCGCTAACATATCAATCCCGAGTTTCATGGCACTTTGTATCACCTTCGGCTTATCCCCCACACACATGCCCATGACCCACCCATCAGCTGCAGCATGACGGAGGAGCATATCCAGGGGACAGTAGGCCAATGGCTTTGCCACCCGGACAGAGCGTCTGTCAATGCGCAAAGTCAGCGCAACAGTGAACTTTGTCATTCTACTTTCCAAGTCAGCATTGTAAACAGACAATGATCGGATCTGATCACGCAAAAGAGCAACTATTCGGGTCTCACCAACAGGTACTATATGGTTTTCATGAACGCCGCAAAACAATTCACGGAGCATTAATAACTCACGAGTCTGGGACCGCCTCAAATCCAGTTCAAAATCAGCATGCCTAGTCCCAGGCACTGCCAACAGGGCCCTATCACGCAACTGCGTGAGCTCAGCGTCTTTCATTTGGAAGCTCGGATTCAGAGTCCGAACCAACGGAAGGAGCTCATTGTTTGCGATAGCAAACCGCAGCTCTGCGCATGCTCTGCGCATGCTGAACACGCCTAAGAAGCTCGCGCCTTACCCACTGTTGGTTCATAACCAAGGCCGAGTACATATCGCGGGACATCTCATGAAGCACATCCGCGGAGACGATATAAACAGAGGTGCCGCAATGGTAGCGAGGTCACTAGTCACATCAGTATTCGCAACGAACTTTTTGACCTCATGCTCTGCAACTAACGCCCTCAGTCGTCCTGCATCTCCACCGGGCAACATCAACCTGACTGTGAACATCTATCCTCCTTTCTAACCACGAAATCTCTGACCGAAGGATACCTTTTCCGTGCTCAGCAATAGAAGCCGCTGCGTGCTAAAGCCCAATAAAGTCGTCATCTAGGCGCTGCGGATTGACATTCTCGTCTAACAGGAAAGCGGACATACCCATCTGCAGCACTTACATGGTTAGCCGTAATGTTCTTCTGACAATCAACAATGCCTTCAGCGAATTCATGTCAGCCTCATGGATGGATTATTGCCTACGTTACCGAACGTACACGTACGGGGCCTTTCCGTACGAAACGTACAGATAATATTTGTACGAGAACCTGTACGCCCCCGTACGACCCGTACGAAAAAAAAAAAAAAAAAAAAGTCATCCAAAAAATCCAAAAACAATATATGTGATGTAAAATCCCAAGATAAGCAATATTTGCCTGAGCACCATCTGCAGAATCTTATTAGAATGGGAGAAACAAAATAAAAACAGTAAAAAAAAATTAAAAAAAGTCGTACGGGCCTTGAGTACGAGTAGCGTACAAGAAATGAGTACAACTTGTACTCGTACGGGGGTGAGTACGAATCGCAACGTAGCCTACAGTAAGTCCCGCTGAGACGCTGGGAAACTGGAGTCATTGTCAAATAGGTTGGAAGGCGATCTGGTGCTGCTGCTCACCCCAAGAGGAGGAATCCCATCAGATATATAGGCTGGATTAAGGTTCATTCCAATCGGGAACGAAGGCACCAAAGCTCGGTCATTATCTATGGGAACAATGTTGCACCTACGAAGGGAAACAACAACAAAAAGGAATAATTTGTAATGAGACAAGAGCAGGGGATAAACAGAGCACAGAAGACCACGAGACATGTATAAGAACTTCCCAATAATAAAAACCAACGGCGGAGTAGCCAGACGACCAGAGCATACATGCATCGGACTCATGACCACGAATGCAGCGACAGACATCAGTAATGAACAAACAAAATGCACCCTGCAGCACACGGTTGACACACAAAGGACGGGAACTCAGTAATAAGACCAGAGGTCCAAACAAGTACATTTGGTCCACACACGGCATTGAATGCCTGCACGGCCATGAAACACCAAAAGGACACTGCTGTGAAGTTGAGCACATGGCGGCAAATCAACAACAATGACCTTAGACAAACGTCGTTTGTGAACAGCACCAACCAAAAAGGCTTCGCAAAACCCACCCCAACCTCAAATGCAAACAGAAAGCGGCAAAACAAAGCGTACAACATGGCGATCGTGACCACGAATGCAAGACAGACATCGAGTAATGAAGAAACAAAATGCATCCCGAAGCACATGGTTGACACACAAAGGACGGGAACTCAGTTATAAGGCCAGAGGTCCAAAGAAGTACATTTGGTCCACACACGGCATTGAACGCCCGCACGACTAGGAAACACCAAAAGGACACAGCTCTGAAGCTCAGCACATAGTGGCAAATCAACAACAACGACCTTAGGCACATGTCATTTGTGAACGGCACCAACCGAAAACTTGCGAAAAGGCTTCACAAAGACCCTCGCAACCTCAAATGCAGACATACGGCAACAGAACGAAGTGTACAACATGGTGATCCACTCCAAATGAAAACAAACAAAAGGAATCACACATCTGACCTGAGAACGGAAGCAGACAATAAGTAGGGGCACCCGAACTTGCGAACTAGAAATTGTCCACGAAGAGGTCAGAGAAGCAGAAAACCTTGCAAAGAGAACGAGAGCATAGAAAACGAATGTTTAAATAGGAACCGAGGCCAAAGATGGTAACCAATACAGAACGTACCTTGAGTCGTTGTAGCCGAGAAAAGATCGAACCAAAGAGCCAACTAAAAAAACAGTCGGCCCACCAGAACTAAACCCTATGCCGATATTGATTTGAATTGTCAGATGTTGTGTGACCCAGTTACCCGGAGACCACGCTTATTTAAGCACGGATACCAGTGAATACGTTGGAGAAACATACCTGCCATAGCATGCAATTGACACACTTATTCGAATCAAAGACAATGCAAATGTGAGTTGAGAATCTGAATTGTTCGTTAGAGCATGAGTATACTCATCGGGTCATGACGAGTCGGCGCAGGAATAAGCGTTGTCATTGCTGGAGTCGGTTGTGTAGGAGTTGGTGTCGCTGTTGTCATCATAGGAAGGCTTATGGTCAAAGTCCTCCTCCTTCTCAATATCACTAACACCGTAGTCTATCACGATGTCTTCCTCCGCAATGGAAGGTGTGTCTTTGTCGTCATCCCTGAGTATTTCTTCTTCACTTTGGTGATCAGCATCCTCGTCAATATCCCCAGAAACAATTATTGCTCGCATTTGATTGACCTTGTCTTCACATCGTTGACGTTTCAACTGACCTTCCTCGATCTGGTCACGAACCTGTTTAACTCCCTGATCTCCCTCCTTGAACCCACATCTCAGCAACTGCGCAAGCTTGGATTCTCGATCAAGTACATATTGACAGTAGACGTTCTCATTGTGCTCAGCATTGTCGCAGATGGAGAAAGGGTCCCAGGACCGATGTGAACCAAGGGAACCGGAATATTGATATCCTTCTATCTGTCAACGAGCATGAGCTGGGAGCTAAAGCCATCAAAATTAAAATGGCGTTCGTCATCTAGCTCACTTAGCTGGGAACCTCAACCTGGACCAAGCGATAAAGTAAGGTTTCACCAACCCACTGTAACTGACGAACAGTTAACTGCGAATCAGAATAGTCGAATCCCTATAGTACGAAATTGTTCGGCAACACGAACAATGGGTACACAATCCGTGCAAGATCACCCCTCGTATCGGAGGTAGACAACAATCTTCTAATCTGAACGTCAAGCTGGACAACTTTATGCTTCCATCGCGTCATGCTATCCTAAGCGACAAAGTCTGAGTGGACAATAAGGTGGATTATTTTATTTCAGAGGTGGTATATCTCGAGCTGCTTCAAGAAATTCATGCTGCTGTCAAGATCCTCATCAGTTCGCGCACCACAAGCAGCAACACTCACCGCGGAAGACTTGTTCCTAGGGGCAAAGCAGCTAAGTGGCTTTGACGCTGCACTCACCTTCTTTGGGGACAACTTGCCACTCAAGACATAAACCACCTCCTCGTGGGACATCCTAACCTTCTGCGGCAAAAATCCCAACTGCTCATCGTGTAGTCGTTGCTTATCAGCCAGCGTCCGCTGAAGGGAATCAATCTCGTACTGTTTGATATACATGAGATGCAGCAACTCGTCAAGGGACCACCTAAGGTCATTTGCGTCCCTATAGTCCTGGCCGGAAACCTACCGCATCTCAAAATAAGAGGGTTTTTTGCTCTTTAGCTGAAGCGAATCAATCTCGTACTGTTTGATATACATGAGATGCAGCAGCTCGTCAAGGGACCACCTAAGGCCATTTGCATCCCTATAGTCCTGGCCGGAAACCTACCACATCTCGAAACAAAAGGGTTTTTTGCTCTCTAGCGGGTAAAAGTTTCGTAGAACTGGACATCATACTTCATATCCCTATATGTCTATAGATGGAAAGCACTACAAGCAACAGGTTGAGGAACAGGTCCTTCCATTATTGGAAACGACTCTTGTGATCAACGGACAGAGCAAAAGAAGCATAAACACATTCCCTCTTAAACGGCAGGGTTCACACACAGCGACACGAACTCGCAACCCAAAAATCAGCAACGGCAAAGCAGGGTCGGAGGACAGACCCACGAAGTAGAGGGCAAGGGACAAACAACCACGGACATCCTAACCTTCTTCGGCAAAAACCCCAACTGCTCATCGTGCAGTCGCTGCTGATCAGCTCGCGCCCGTTGAAGCGAATCAATCTCCTGTTGTTTGATATACATGAAATGCAGCAGCTCGTCAAGGGACCACCTAAGGTCATTTGCGTCCCTATAGTCCTGGATGGAAACCTGCCACATCTCAAAATCGGAGGGGGGGGTTGCTCTCTAGAGGGTAGTCTAAGAACTGAACATCATACTTTATATCTCGATATGTCCATGGATTGAAAGCACTACCAGCAACTGGTTGAGGAACAAGTCCTTACATTGTCGGAAATGACTCCTGTGATCAGCAGACAGAGCAAAAGAAGCATAAACACATTTCATCTTAAACGGCGGGGTTCACACACAGCGACATGAACTGGCAACCCAAAAATCAGCAACGGCAAAAGAGGTACAGAGGACAGACCCACGAAGCAGAGGGCAAGGGATAAACAGCCACGAAAACAAAACATTGTTTCCCCCGCCACTGTTCCTTCCCCCCCACAAAACATAGCCGACCGAACTGGTCGTTCACTGGGGAAACAGCAGAAGAATAGTAAACGATAGTAGGTTACAAGAAACACAACAATCGTGATGGGAGGCCATTGAGACGAGAGAAAGCAACAGGCAGCAAAGCGAAGAAAATGGACTGGGGACATGCTTCACCATGGACAAACGGTTCTCGACATTCATCCAGTAAGAACTCTCCCACGCGTAGTTCGGAAATGCAGTCAATCCCTGATCTCATCCACGACTTCATCGTAGGAGGCGGGCTTGAAACGGCTGTCAAAGCGGTCAGGAACCGAAGCAGGAGAGTCAGGATACAGCGCAAACATATCGATCCGATCACCCTCAACAGTAAGCAACATCCCGAGTTTCGTGGCACTCTATATCACCTTCGGTGTATCCCCCACACACATACTTATGACCCACCCATCAGCAGCAACATGACGGAGGAGCATATCCGGGGGACAGTAGGGCAATGGATTTCGCACCCGGACAGGGCGTCTGTCAATGCGCAAAGTCAACGCAACAGTGAG